TAACAACTTAATACATTCCTTTTCCTTTCCTTCTCTGTTTTACAGTGTGGATTCCAGAGGCCAAGCAGTTCGCATCAATTATAATAATGCAACAAGAGACACAGTGTTTGACATACCAGCTGAAAAAGTGAGGCCATTTTATGCAGCTCTAAAGGAATTTGATAATTTATTGAACAGTGCTGAAAATAAGTTTACTTACAAGCTGAAACCAGGTCAGTAAGTTGCTTCTCCTTGCAATCATTTTTCACATGTTTTTGCTAACAGTCAAAACACTTAAGCATTGTTAGCACTGGTATTCAGAGGAAATTCCAGTCCTTCTGTCACCTGTTTTATTTCATACTGCTTCCTTACATTCATCTCAGATTTCTTTTGCCATTGTTACACTATAAAGAAAAAAAAAAAGGCAGGAGGGATAGAGCCTGGCTATTGATCAGTCCAATGTATCTTTATATTACACCAAAACCCCATCCCACATAGGAAATCGTAACTTGTCATATCGGTAGCAGCCCAGTTGAGACACGCCGTGTGTAAGACTGCTGTGCCATCCCACTTCAGCGTCTGTTCGTTAAATGATACATGATCACATACTTTTTTCCTCTGCTTCATTTGATGCTTTGGGCTTTAAAACAATATTAGTGGGACACCTTCCCAATGGCTGCAGGAGTTGCACAACATCTAGAAGATGATACAGATACATAAAGTGCATAACACCGAAGGAAGCTGAGCAGCACCTTGGGGAATTCAGTTATCGTCTTTGCTTACACACCGAATGCCAGCGTAACGCTGGATGAATTACCGAAGGCCGCTGCTGCTGTGCTGCTTTTCTGGGTGGCCTATGCAAGACATCTGGAGGCAGATTTGCAGAAGTGCTGGATGCTCTAAATTTCAGCTAGAGTTGTACAGGGCTGTTTTTTGAACATAAAACATGCTAAAGAAATGCACTTTACTTTTTAAAAGTCAGTCCATGCATCTATTTAACTACTTTGGCCTTATTCTCTGTTCTTTCATTCCCCAGCTATAAAATAAAGATATGGATAGTCCCTCATCTCTCAAGAGATGTTACAAAAGTAAATTCATTAGTGTATCTGACTGCCTCGTGTACTAAGTGTCTTTAAAATGTCTACGAGCAAATGAATCTCTCTCTTTTGGAAACATGCAACAAAATAATTTATAAGATCACATAATAAATGGTAAAACAAAGTACCTCACGTTACATTAGTACCATCCATCCCATCAATTAAGCACCAAAATGGTGGTAGAGGGGAGGGGAAGAAGGAAAGAAAGACTAGAAGGTTAATTAGAGATTTATCGTAACACTGCCACACAAGGAATAAAAATTAATTAAGGCGAGCATGGCATTTTATGTGATTTCCTAACTTTCAATGGCTTGACTTTGTTCTCATAAAATTCTTGTAACAGGGGTTGTAAAGCAGGATGTGGATAGTACAAATAGTACCAGACGGATCAAACAAAAATCATCCCAGTGGCTTTCACCCTTTTTATCCTTCGTGTGCATTTGCTGTAGTCACCTTTCCCCTCAAGGCCTGCTGACTCCTGGTTATACAAGAAAAGATGCAGAGGTCGAAAGGGACCTGCCCTCTATGGTTGAGAATGACCAGCTAAATTAAAATTACTGTGGTGTTGCTGTATATCTCCAGCTGAGCTTCTTGAAGTCATTGCTCCCTAACTGCTGATATAAATCTACCTCCATGTTGTCTGTTTGAAGGAACCAGCTATAACATACCAAATGTTAAACTTCGTGCAATCTCTTTATAGGAGACATAGTGACGTTTGATAACTGGCGCGTGCTTCACGGTCGCCAAAGCTACCCGTCGGGATCAGAAGTGACTCGTCACCTGGAGGGTGCCTATGCAGACTGGGATGTGGTCATGTCAAGGCTCCGGCTCCTCAGGAAGAGGGTCCTCAACAGGGACTGAGCTTTCTTCTAACTAGAATGAGCAAAACCTAGATTGTCTAACCTCAGGAAAAAAAAAAAATAATAATTGTGAAAATCGTGTTTTCTTTCAGAAACTAACATAATGAATTTTTGAGTTCCCTAAGCTAAGAAACCTGTTGCTCATAACAATTTAAGATTTATCTGTGCCTTGGTCATTGAATCTATAAAATGCATTGCTACCTCTGTCAGTTTATTTGCTTTTTAAAATCAGTGCGCAAAATGGCTTGAAAGATTATCACCTGGGGTGACTGGGTGTCACAATGCCTTAGTTTTCCTCTACAAATACACCTGCTCTGCCTAGAAAGCTCGGAAGGGAGCATCAAAAAGGAGCTTATCACAGAATCACAGAATGGTCGGGGTTGGAAGGGACCTCTGTGGGTCATCTAGTCCAACCCCCTG